GCGGGAAGCAGCGAGAAACGGCGCTGGAATAAGGGAATTTTCCACAAAAAAGGGGAGGTTGACAGCTATGTTGTTGTGTGTCCTATTTTACTGAGGACTGTCCTCTTTTGAAAGCACCCGCTGTTACAGGGAGAGGCCTGAGGTGAAATGGAAAGGTGCTGCACTATGTGTGCACTGTGTGCTATCTGTCACCCCCCCCGACTCTGCCAGAGCTGCGCTTAACAGCATGGCACAGCTGTGGCTTCTGGGATCCTGCACGATTGTGCAAAGACCTTGCATGGCCTTCCTGAGACTGCAGTAAGTGAGGTGCTCTGCCCTGCCTACCCAGTGTCTTGGAACCGCCATGTGAGGCCTCTGGAGTCCTCCATGAGATCTCATGGGGCTTTCACAAGATCTCCCAGAACCCAGCAGCTGCTACAGCTGCTTCACCTTGCTTCTCCAGCAGCTGCAAGGTGGTGCCTGTGGAGGCTTCCCTTGGATTCTGCCACCTGAGGCAGGTGCCTCAGTCTGCCTCATGGATGGCCTGGCCCTGGGCAGTCCTGCTTTGCACCCTCCTTGAGTGACTTTTGGCCCAGCTGGGATTCTGATCATGGCTCTTGCTCACCTGTATGAAGGATAGAGAGGGGTGTGCATAGAAACTGGCCTACGTTGCTCCATCCACTTTTGCCTCTGGCCCCACCTATCAGTGTCATGCAGCTTGCCTAGAAGTGAACTGGGCTGAAAATGGCTGTTCACCCCTTGTGAAGCATCTGAGAACCAAGTCTGATAAGGAACAACTGAAGGACCTGTGCGTGCTGAATCTGGAACAGAGAAGACTAAGGGTGGACATTATGGTGGCTCTCTTGAAGAGCTCTCATGTTGAAGAGGAAGCAGACTTGTCCTCTGCTTCTCTGGAGGGCAGAATTAGGACCATTTGGCTGGCCATTATAGGGAAGCAGGCTTCTGCTGGATATTAGAACAAACTTCCAGAAACGCTCAACTGCTTTGCTCTGCATCCTCCTTGGGTGGTTTTTGGCCTGACTGGAATGTGTCCTTGAGCTCTGATAATTTATCTATGGATTTCCTGGGAACATTTGTGCTCCGCTGTTCAGCCAAAAAGCCTCCCACAGTGGCTTACGTAGTAGTACAATCAACAGAAGATGCTCCCTACCAGCAGGGTTGCAATTTGGGGGGGGGGTAGGGTGGGGGGAGAGATGTAAGGAAAAGGGGACAGGGGAGGAAGAAGAAAACAGGAACAAAAATCTAGGCACTAAATGCTTGTTCCCAGAATGACCAGCTGGCACAGTTCAGGGGCAGGGGGTGCCTCATTGAGCTTGGCCTCTGCAAAAGTTGAAGCCTTGTTTTTTCTGCTTTTGCAGAGGATCATGTCCATGGGGTCCTAGGCACCATCCTCTGATGGGAGACTCACTTATCTTGTTAAATGCACAGTGAAAGCCTTCTATGGATCATCCAGCCTCTGCTCGTGACTAGTCCCTGCTTGCATGCGTATGTAGTTACTTTTACATACAGAAGTGCATTGGCTGTCAAGGGAATAAATATTGAAGCAATTCTTTGAGGCACATGATGAAGCACGACTTTTTCTGATGGATTCAAAATTTCCACGTGACCAGTTGGACAACTTTGTGTGGTTTGTGTATGGCAGCCTCCTTAGCAGGCATTTTCACATACTTGAGCATTCACAACACAAGCTTTCAAGGTAGTAATGTGAACATATTTTTTTTTTACATTAAAGATAAGATTGAGGCAGTGATTTAAAAATTATGGTTATGGGCAGTGTTTTTGTTTCTTTAAAAAAATGTTTAGGGGTACTCTCATTTCCCTACTCATATTGAAATACTGCCTCGCAATGAGGCCAAACTTAGATTCACAAAATGTTTAGGGGTATGCGTACCCCTGCGTCCCCCCCCCCGAAAAAAAGCACGGGTTATGGGCAAGCCGAGTAGAAGGTGGCAGCCTCACTAACATCCCAACACTGGAGACATTTATGGAGGCCAATGATGCAGAATTGACACCAGAAGTAAAACATTACATCACTGAGCACCTGTGTGATTTAGCGACTAGCTTCAGAGATTTCTTCCCTGCAGCAAATCCTGAAAATTCACAGATAAGGAATCCTTTTGAATGTGGTGTTGTACAACTAACAAGTCTTATCTGTGTACTTGTTGATGTGACTTGTGATGGTTCACTGAAATCATTTTTCAAAGAATGTAGACCAGTGGTGTAATGAGCCCCGCTGGCACCTGGGGCGGCTGCATGGGTAGCTTCGGCACACTGTGAACAAAGCCCTGCGCTGCTTTCGTGAGTGGCGCGCTGCACTCTCAGGGGCACCTAGGCTTCTGTGCCACCTTGGGCTCCATCGTGCCGCTCTTAAAGGTAAGTTTAAGAAAAATTAAACTTGTTTGCCCAACTAACTAAACCTTTGCCATTTTTGTGTGGTAATATCACAAATTTTATGGTCTGTTTTTGTGTGTGTGTGTTTTTAGTACAGTGGTACCTCGGGTTACATACGCTTCAGGTTACAGACTCTGCTCACCCAGAAATAGTGCTTCAGGTTAAGAACTTTGCTTCAGGGTGAGAACAGAAATCGTGCTCCGGCGGCGCGGCAGCAGCAGGAGGCCCCATTAGCTAAAGTGGTGCTTCAGGTTAAGAACAGTTTCAGGTTAAGTACAGACCTCCGGAACGAATTAAGTACTTAACCTGAGGTACCACTGTATACCTAAAATCCTTTGCTTATAGGGGACTACCCCACATTTTCTTCAAAAAAATGCTCTGCACAGGTAAGACCATAGAGTTATCAACAATTTCAAAAGTATGGGGCCCATGGCTTGGCTTTTGAAAAAGGGTCTTCAGCTAATTGGGAACTACTGCTCTATCAGTCTGGGAACCCATTTTATTTTATGTTTTAGATATTTTATGCATTAGGCATTTCAACATTCTCTCTCTTTTAAAACAAATATTTATGCTTTTCAGATTTATACATTTCACTAATTTTACAACCATTTTAACATTTCAAAACTTGACTTCCTTCCTCCTCTTTCTGCGGTTCCTTAAATTTATTCTTAATATCTTCTGCATATCCAAATTAACTTAATTTGCTCATTTATTCATCTCCTTCAAATATATACTCTTATAAAACTGCAGCTTATTAAAACAATCCTGACAATGTTCTTATCTGTTTACAATTTATTTGTAAATATTCAATAAACCATTTCCATTCTTTTATAAAAAGTTTGTTGTCTTGATTTCTTATTCTTCCAGTGAGTTTCGCCATTTCTGCATATTCCGTAAGTTTTTGTATCCTTTCCCCCTTTGCTGGGACTTCTTTCCATTTTGGGGCAAGTGAAATTCTTGCCGCTTTAGTAGCATAAATGAATAAGTTTCTATACAGTTCAGGTAGTTGTGTCCCTATAATTCCCAAAAGAAAAGCTTCTGATTTTTTTTACAAAAGTTATTTTAAACATCCTTTTCAATTCATTATATATAATATCTCAGTAAGCTTTAACCTTACTACAAGACTACTACATATGATAAAAAGAACCTTCTTTCTCTTTACATTTCCAACACTTATTTGATTTAGATTTATAAATTTTTGCCAACTTACTATATTTTCATAGAGTTTTCTGTTAGACCAAAACATGCTGTAAATTTTATATCCATATTCCACAATTGTTCCCATACTTCCATGTCTATATTATGACCGATACCTATTGCCCAGTGTATCACTGAGGATTTCCCTTGCTTATCCTTTGTCTCCCATTCCAATAATATTTCATACATTTTAGACAACACTTTTACATTACATTCTAACACGTCTCTCTCCAGTTGTGATATTTGTTCCCCAAACCCTCGTATCCTATCTTTCAGGCATTTCAGCATTCTCAAGATGGGGTTACCTTAAAAAAAATAAATGAAAGCTTGACATTAAATTAAGGTAAATGAAATAAAGGAAAAAGAAGGGGGAAAGGGGCGGAAATATTTAAAAAGCAACAGAAAGCAGAGGAAAACAACAATAACAAAAGGATAATGAAATGGAATTGAGGTTAAAGTACAAATGTAGTATATATGAAAGGAGATGAGCTTCTTATTCGCCTCATTAGTTCATGAGTCACCATGGTTTCAGTAAATACATTCCAAATATCATTATATTCGTCCATACCAATCTTCGCCTGAAAGTGATCTGTTCATATGTTGCAAGAGTTGTCACATTGTCTATCCATTGATCAAAGGGGGCCATATTTTAATGCCCCCCTTTGACTAATGAATCAGTATCAATCTGTTTGCAGATGTAACGGCATGGAAAATCCATTTATGTTGACTCCTTGTCAAGCCCCTTATATTAGCTACAGACAACCACCAATTTGCACACATCCGAACTGACATGCGACTGCACGTGCGCATCGCCGCAACCTAGAAGTGGCCAGAAGGGGGCGGGGGCGTAATAGGGCGTAGTGGGGGGGGGGAAGTGGGCTTGACACGTGAGTTCAGGAGTTCAGACAGGGCATGCTGAGGGTAGCGGCTAACTTCAGTTCATTATTGGCAGCGTGGAATATGAAGGTACAGTGCGTCTGAGCACAGAGACTCATCACGCTTTTATTATCGCATTTCTACCCCACGTCTCCTTCAAGGAGTTGGAGGTGGTCTTCATGGTTCTTCCCCCCCCCCCAATATAATCCTCACAACAACCCTGTGAGGTAGGTTAAATTGACAGGCAAGTAAATAGCTGAGTATGGATCCCGAACATTGGCCCTAGTCCTATATCGTGTTATGTATACAGAGACAAAAGTTTCTCCAATCTTTGCGCAGTGTTTTTTCTTTTTGGAGGGGTGGGCAGTGCGGGTGGGGGACAACGTATCCCTCCCCCCACCTTCGCGCAGTCGAAGCGAGGGCTGTGCTACCGGCGGGATGGAGCCCAGAGGAGGAGCCGGGGGCGGTCTGGTGGGCGGGGAATAGGGAAGCAGCCTGCGCTAATTGCATAAGCAAAACGTAAATAATTCGCGGGAAAAAGGAGAGAGGAAAAAAAAGAAGATGGCGCCTCACATCCTCAGCATCTTCAGTCTGCAACAGCTGCCTGAGGAGAGACAGACACCTTTCTGAACCTGGTGCGGAGTGCCACCGGGTGCAGCGGGGAGCCCGCTCTGTGAGCCCCGCTGCGGGACTCTCACTGAGTCCGAAAGGCATTTTGGTGCTTTTCCTGCGCGCGCTGCGCCCCGTACTTTTGGCACTTTCTTCTTTCCAATGGAGCAGGAGTGGAACTGAGAAAAGAAAACTTTCTTGATACAGAAAACCGGTAAGATTTTGTATTTGGCGGCGGCGCGAGGGGGTGCGGCGGCGCGTTGCAGAGAAGGGGGTGTCCGGCAGGTCTCCAAGCGAGCGGGTTTGCAGAGAAACTTTGGCGGCGGCGTGCCTTAGGAGAAAGAGTTGCAGAGTTTTCTATTTATTTCTTAAACTTTTTGTGTGTGTCTGTGGGTGGGATTACAGGATTTTGCAAAACCTAAGGCACGCAGCTTGCATGTTCATTAAAAAAAAAAAAAAGATGAACCGGGACAAGATCGTTACGTTTTTGGATATTTAGGCTGTGGATCCTCGCTTAGGGAGCAAGTCACTTATTGAACTCGGCGAGAGGTGCTTTGCTTCCGAGTAAAACGTGTATTCGGGGTCGCAACCACGTTGCGCTTGCAAGCCCACGCACTCTGTCCCTTGCAAAGCAAAGGTGTCCCTTTTGCACGCTTAAGTTGAACGTGGTGCGGGTTACTGCCGAATTAAGGGGCAGAAGATCGAGCCGCCTGAGGGTACCGGGTTGGTGGGGGCGGAGAGGAAGAAAGCTGCCTGTTTTGCTATCAAAAATGAAAGTGTAACCGCTTCTGTATTCCTTTGGGAACTAAAAGTCTCGTGTTGTGGGCTGTAACCGGCTGAATTCTACTCGAGAGCAGACCCACTAGAATGAATGGGCCGGTGTGAGTCAATGCCCACCAGTTTCAATGGGCCTACTCCGAGTAGGGCTTGCAGCAACCCTGATAGAAACTGGGATTCCGCAAGGAGAAGGGTGTGTGTGTGTGTGCACGCGCCTGACTGTGCAGATACTTCATTGACAGTTGCTTGCAAACTTGAGTAAATATGATGAATAAGAAATAGGGGACGCTTAGTTGCGGAGATACCCTGTGCGCGCGACGCTTTTTTTTATTAACCGCATCCTTTGACTTCTTTCGGTTTGAATAGACAGACGGTGTGTTGTTAACACCCCCCCCCTTAAAATGTATTTTCTTTAAAAAAAATTTTTTTTACACGGGTCTTTTTTGAATCAGCCAATCAGAGCGCGGTGAGTAGCCGGCTCTTAGTCAGCTACACGCGGGAGATTAACTCTCTTACTTTGGTTACAGTGAAAGCCCCCCAGCCCACCCCCCTAGATAGTGATGCCCCCTGGATTATTCTGAGCAGAGAGAGGACACAGTCTTGATAGTTCGTCAAAGAGGAGGGAGGAAATTGGCAAGGGGATTGCAGAATAGGTTTGTCGAATAGTATTAGAGCTCAGTGGAACCTCCATCTCCAGGAACAGTATACCAGGGACAGGGAATCTCTTTCACTCACAGGCTGTACTGTATTCCCCCCATGGACAATCTTCTAGGAACTGCATGGCTCTGGTGGGCAGGGCCAGAGCCAAAAGTGTATGGTGCTACAGGTGTGACTCTTACAATATATATATATATTGTTGACATGTGTCTGCTTGGAGAGACAGTGGTTGAATGCATCTTCAGGGGTGAAGTCAAACCTTTGGAGAGTTTGGTTGTGCTGCTGCAGATGCGCCTATGATTCCTCTCTCTGCATTCTTCCAAATGGTCAGTAGGTGCATACCAGCCAGGGGTTTTCACCCACACGCAGAAGCCTCTCATCCAAGTGGCATTATCACTGTTCAAGGGTACATTTCAGCCAGGTAGAATTTTTCATGGAGACTGCAGAGGAGGGACAGTGAGCAGGTGTAACCTGGGAAAAGGGCTGCATTGTACTGAGGCTGCTCCAAGCACCTGATATCCTATGCACCTTCGTGGAGTTTAGGACTATCCTTGGCAGCTAGCCAGGAAGGCTATGCTCTACCTGCACGGCTGAAGGCAGCAATGCTCTTGAATTCCAGTTACTGGGAAATGCAGGAGGGTAGGGTGTTCTTGTGTTTGAATCCTGCTTGCTGGTCTCCTGCAGGCATCTGGCTGGCCACTGTGAAAACAGGATGCTGAACTAGACTAGATTTGTCTGATCCAGCAGGGCTGCCCTTGCGTTATTATTATGCTCAGGTAAAGCATGCAGGCTAAAATGAAAACGCTACCGCTGATGTGTGTGAAATCCACCTGTATTGTTTAAAAATTCTGACCACCATGCCAAATTTTCGCATTCGAATTGTGGCAACCAAATTAGAGATGAAAAAGAAAGGAAATGGATGGGCTGTCCTATCACCCCCCCTCACCTGCACCCCATTCAGTGGAACAGGTTGTTTTAGACTTGCGCTTCTTAGGGCAGGGTTGTTGTGTGTTTTTTTTTAAATTATTGAACATTTTATTTACAACATAACATAACCCCCCCCAATACAGAAATACAATAAGCATAACATATAACAATACAAACAACCAAATAAAAGACTTCCTTTATCCTGTGTCTGGCCTCCTTATTTACTTCTTATAAGCTGTTTCCCTTATGAATAATTATTAAGATTTTTCTAATTATAACTTAAATATCCACAAAGTCTCCTGCAGATATTAATCGGAACAAGTCCAGGTATGTATTTTAGGGCACTGTTTTGTGAAGTGTTCTCTGCATTTTCCCCATGCTTTTTGAAACTCTTGCCTAGTGTGATTCTTAGGTCAGGGTTTGTGTGCCCCTTTAGGTGGTACTATGTGTTCCTTCACTCACCACAGTCCAGTGGCGGCACCTGGTGGGGCAGAAGGCAGAGAGAGCAGTTATAGGTGGTGCCAGAGCCAATGAGAGGCAGAGCCAACTAATTCTGGTCTAGTCCCTTGCCATCCTTCTCCCTGCTGACTTCTACAAGGGCAACCCTGAGACTAAGGAGGCAGAGAAGCTGGCAGTCCGGGCCATTCCTGGAACTGGTTGCAAGTAAGAAGGCAGGCAGGTGGGGGCTTTCTGAGGTTGGTGGGGATGTGCCCAACTTGCCCAGACAGGCTCACCTGCGCTGCAGTCCAGACCTGATGGGTTTAGAGACCTTTGTGCTCCTTCTGCTAAGAAGGGCTCTGGACATCTGCCACAAAGTCCTAGAGAGATGGAATCGCTGCTTGTCACCCTGAAGTGCTGGGATATTTGACAGCTTTTCCAAGACACAGAAGGCAGAGTTAAGTGATTTTGATTCCTGCTGCTGCTGCTGCTGGACATTGAGGCAAGTAGTAGCAGATTGCTGTGTTACAGGTGTGTTTAGTGCTGGTGCTTTGTACAGTGGTGCCTCGCAAGACGAAATTAATTCGTTCCGTGAGTTTTGTCGTCTTGCGATTTTTTTCGTCTTGCGAAGCACGGTGTCGGGAAAGTTTTGGAAAAGCTTCAAAAATCACCAAAGTCTTTAAAAACCTCAAAAAAGGCTACCACACCGCGTTCTATGAGTTGCTCCTCGAAGTCAAGTCGCAACTGTATTAACGGTGTTAAGAAAAAGGAAACAAACTTGCAAGACGTTTCCGTCTTGAGAAGCAAGCCCATAGGGAAAATCATCTTGCGAAGCAGCTCAAAAAACAAAAAACCCTTTCGTCTAGCGAGTTTTTTGTCTTGCGAGGCATTCGTATTGCGAGGTACCACTGTAACTTCTTTTGGGTGTTTGTTTATTCATTTATTCCTGTGTGGCATTTCTACCTCATCCTTTTGGCAAAAAAAAATGAAATAAAAAAGAAAAAGGACTTTTTTTCCAGAGGAAAGGTGGGGTTATTGTTGGCCTCTGTCTGTCTCAAGAGACAAAGTGTGCATTAGCAGCCTGGAAGTGACCTCGGAGTGGAAGCCTAGGCAGTGTGGATGGAGGTCCTGAGCTGTCCAAGTGACAAGACCTCCCTCTCGGCCTCACTGATGGGGTCCAAATTAAACAATGGGAAAAGCACTTAACAATTTTTATATGGCAAGAAAAAACGCCAAGGATTAAGTATAAAATACTAAGAGATGAGAGGAATAGAGGGGGTTTCTCATTTGCTGATTTGAGACTGTACTTTGTAGCTGTGTGCGTGAAGGAGTGGGTAGAATTAAAGGATGCAAGAACCTTTTACTTGGATTTGACCTAAGGTTTGGGTGGCATTGCTATTTGTATTATAATAAGGCCAAAGTGCACAAGAGTTTTTTAAATTATGTGATCAGGAGGAGTGTGTACAATGTTTGGGCAAAATATAGAGAAATGTTAAGAAAGGAAGACCCCATGCTGGATATCTCCAATGGAGGCGGTTGTGGTAAAAAAATTGAACATGGAAGAAAACTGGGGAACGTATAAAGACCTTCTTGAATTTAAAGATAACTCTGTAAGACTTTAAAAAGAGAGAGAGAGAAGAAGAAGAAGTAATTAGACTAGTCACAGATTGATTCCAGTATTTCCAAATAAATGAGATATTTAGAAGAGGCAAAGAAAAAGGATTTGTAGAAGGTGGATTGGAATTTGAGAAAATAATATTGGGAAATAACAAAAAAATTAAAGTATACAGAACTCTACTTGAATGGGAACCTAAAGATGAATAAGTGAAAGAGGTGATTATACACTGGGCATCAGTTATTGGATATAACATTGAACCTTTGGCATGGGAAAAATTATGGAATGGGCCAGTAAAATTTTCGGCCCGCTATGCAATTCAAGAGAACATCTTCAAAATGGTATATAGATGGTATCCGATGCCAAGTAAACATGCCACAATGCACAAGAGAGGATCCAATGCATATTGAAAATGTTTAGAAAAAGAAGGCTCTCTATATCATATGTGGTGGCAATGTAAGTATGGGGGTTGGGAAATGATATTTGAGGAACGCACCTTAAATTCACCTTCCCTAAAAGACCAGAAGCCTTCTTGCTGACAATAATAGGGGAAGATATACCTAAGAAAACAAGGAACCTATTTTTATATGCAACTGTGGCTGCAAGGAAAACTTATGCAAAAAAATTCGAAATAAATTATTGTTCCAACAAAGGATCAATGGTTGCAGAAGTTAATAGAGTTTGTTTAGTTAGCAAGTTTGACAACCAAAATAAGAAATTGTGATGAAAAGAAAAGGAGGCAAGTGGGAGCTTTTCGAAGAATACTTTAGAGTGGTATCAAGGTTAACTTGCAAGTAGGA